CAAGTATATACATGTGTGTGTCTTTGTACTGTATATACATGTGTGTGTCTTTGTACTGTATATACATGTGTGTGTCTTTGTACTGTATATACATGTGTGTGTGTGTGTGTAATGTATACACAAGCAGTGCCAACTTACTACCTACACCGCCAGCAAATCTGGCCGGCGCTTTTCCCTCACCTTTCTTCCTTTACTATACATTGCCAGCCATGTCGCGCTTTAGGGTGTATGTGAAACCTTCTCACACATACACGACGATATCATGGTCATAATACTCAGTACACACAATACCTACACAGTATGTACATATGGTACCATACATACATGCATGGGACCACAATCTAGCCTCGACCATCAATCACATCACACTGAGCACTTACCCATGCCTACTCTTACCCAGCCTGTATGTACGCAGTATGTAGTATGTAGGTACAGTACCCACGACTCTTGCCAAGCTAGATTCCCATCGCAACTGCCCCAGAACAGTAACCTACCCCAGTGCCTCCTTCCCTCCCTCCCTGCCCCTCTCCCCCCGTGATCCCGTCCAACCTTGAGGCACAATGAAACACCAAATTTGCCCAGCCAAAGCAGAGGCCAGACCAGGTCTATGGTTGGAGCCACTCACTCTCCTGTGCCATCTACAGTACTTTTAACTACATACATCACCTCTCCATCACACCTGTGTCCTTCTTCAGTCTAGCGCAACACCCAGCGGCAGAAGGAAATAAGCTGTGGGATAGCGCGACAGCTCGTCTGTCTGTCTGCGAGCAGCTTTGCAATCGCGATAGGGATTCCACCTGATGACGTCCCCCTCCCTTGTCGAGGACAACGGGAGACTGAGCGCTCTCTCTCTCTCTCTCTCTCTCTCTCTCCACCTCAATCGTGACATGAATCTTTGCCATGGGACGCCTCAGTCATCGCTCTGGCCACGCTCAAGCCTTCTCTTTACTATATGGGAAAAAGCTTCGCCCCTTGGCTCCAGCGCAATCGCCAGTCGGATGAGGCATTTCCCCCTCGCACGAGAGAGCCGCTGACTCTATGCAGCTTGTGAACGGCCTGCACAATTTTTCTAGCGGCCTTCCGGGGGACCCACGAAACATGGCCCTGTTGATACAACGGTGAACCGCCATTCGCATCTTCCACTAGGTATTGTATTGTACGGTACCACACAGTATTGTCCGAGCAGCGAGCGGCAAGCCTCCCCTCGTTCCTCCCAGGTCAGTGCAGGGCGATCCGCCGCCGGTGCCCTGCCAGCCTCCCAGGCTTTTTGACTCTGGAGGCTTGACTCTCTCCCTCACCTCCAACCCCCGCGTGTGCCAGGGGTGCGACGGTGCTGCAGAAGGTCCGACAACATGCCTGCCACGCCCATGATCAAGCCCTTGATCAAGCAACCCGTGGTCGAATCAAGCCAGTTGCAAGCAGCCCACTAGGGGGATTTCTTCGGGGGCATGCCTCGAAAGCGTCTGACTGGCCCTTGGGTAGGTGTGCGCCCAGCCCTATCGGCCGAATCAGAGGCCAGCTTGGCGAGTCTCCTGGGCAACGGCACCCATGCTAGGGACGACTGTACAGTGCCTTGTACTGTAGGTACAGTAGGTCGGTACTCGGTACTCGTAGGTACAGGAAAGTCAGTAGGTTGTACCGTGAGCGTAAGTATTTCCTCCCCAATTACATCGGATGGTATTGTCATTCAAACTGGCGTCTCCACCACGGCTAATTCTGCGCCGTTGAGTGTCTCCATGCCAGAACCGGTACGGTAGTACGGACAAGGACCAAGGCAGCACATGGTGTATTGTATGTAGGAGTACTCTACATACCTACTTGCATACTCTACCTACCGGTACCTACTAGACTGCAAATCTAAAACGCAGGGTCCTCAACGTTGATTGTGTCTTGGTACGGCAGTAGTAGTAGTAGTAGTAGTAGTAGTACTACCATACTACTCTAGAGTACAACAGACTTGCTGCACCGCAGTCAAGCGATTGATTGGCTACTGCGAAGCCTATCGTCTGCCCTCACTCCAGACCATGGAAGCACTTCCCAACAAAGTAGTCGCGCCCACGTGATGCAGCTGCCGTGATCTGGCCTTGCGCCCACCGCCGCTCGCCATTGCCGATGCTTCGCCGGTACCTCACGCTCACGCTCAACTTCACTGTATCAGGCAGCCCGAACGAGAGTGTCGAGTGTCGATTGTCGCAACCCACAATTTTGCAGATTTCCGTGGGCTGTCGCCGCCGTGACGAAATTCCTCCCCATGGCCAACCCTCGTCATGAGTCGCGCTCTCTTACCGCTGTCGGTCCGCCTGCCTCAATGCAACGCCACCACCCCACGGCCTTTCCGCACAATCTACCTGTGGAGATTTTGCACATGATCATCGCCGCAATAGACGACCTCCCTTTTGCCTGGTTCGTCTTGCGACATGTTTCGTCTTTCTGGAGGGCGATTACCGAAGATGTGTTTGAGCGCTTGCTTCTACGCACGTGTACTATTACCTTCACAGGTCAGACTATACGAGAGCTGAGGTACGATGGGTTTCGCTTGGCTCCATATCCACACGCTTTGCTCACTCACAACTGCAGTCCGGTTGAATCGCCACCTGTCGAGGAAAACTCCATTCCAGGCCAACGACGGGGTCATGTAACAAAGGTTGAAACAGAGGCTCCCAAGCCAACGTTTCGTTTCCGGCCATCTGAATTTGGTCCCCCCGACTCAAAGGCCAGGGTTCTTTTCAAGCTTTATGACTTGCCAACCAAATATGCGACTGTATATACCCTCCCAAGACAAGCAATTCAAGCCTCATCAAGCGACCCTCTTGCTCAGATATTCTTCAGACAGGGGCCTTGTGCAGGTATTCTACGACGTCGTCTGTGCCAGGAGCTACATTTCGTCCATTTCTCTAACGAACTAAGAAATATTCGGTTACCTACTCTGGTGATCGACGTTGCCGCCCGCAAAGTCTCGCTCGAATGGCGTCAGCTCATCTATGACTTCTATCTGGACAGATTCAAAAGCCGCTGGCATGCCTGGTTCTCCGCGTCCCGTTTACGATAAGACGAACAGCCTCTGTGAAATATCCCGTCTTGGCAGCTTCGTGCTGCACCACCGAGACGAACTTTGTGCCCGCCAAGGCCAAGGGCAGCCTCAGATTGCGGAGCTACGCGTAGATCAACTTGGCACGAGATACCTTCTCCCTCTCTTCAGCCCTCCGCCTTTGAGTGGTAAAGCGATCAGGCTCGTCAGCGGGCGTGCACACCCTTTCTCCGTCTGGGCATCTCCATGCATGCTATGTAACAACTACCCCGGATCAATATCGTACACCTTACCTTACATAAAGCGCGCCCAGCCTTCCCAAGTCCTATTTAAAATCACGCAGAATGACCCAAGTTAGCAGGAAACGTGCATCGTCCGCGGCCCTGCCTGATCCTTTGGTCTTGCGGGGATTTCTGATCTCGAATGCCTACTGTCTACGTGGCAGCAATGTTTTCCCGGCAGCATGACGGTCTGCATTTGCGTGGCACGAGATATTAGATGTACATGAACCAAGACAACCAAGTGTCGTACGAAGAATATAATTAATTACTCGACTTGTCGATACCGCCTCACATCAGCGATACAGCCAAGCACAGTTGGCGCCATCCGCCATCCAAGAAGAGTAATTGTGCATATAGAGATGTTCATTGCCAAGACTGACAAGCCTGGAGTGGTTTGCACGGAATGTCCAACAACATAGGACAGATCTGAGTAGATGTCAACAGCCCTTTGGCCATCATCATGCGGGCATATTGACCGACACGTTACCGTACGCTTGCGAAGTTTTGCCGGGATTTAGAGGACAGTAATTTCGATTGTCTTTCAGAGTCTTCGTTTGCAACATTTGCATCGGACTCTGCGACTAAGAGCCTCACTTTCTTCTTGAGACGCCCGCACTAACGTCCGAATCACCAAATGCAGCGTCATACCATCCCACCGTCTTACGTGATCTGAGGCTGTATCCGGGCAACTTTCCTCAGGTCGTCACGTGGGGCGACCCACTTTACATCTGACCCACTGGGCACGACTTTCATAAATCTCTCTGCTTCAGCTCAATCTCTATCTATGTACTATCCCGCCACTTCGACACGCTTGAGCCAGCTAAGCACGCCAGGATACGTGTCCATCATGTGTGCGCGCGTCTAATCTTTACTGTGTACATACTCTCGACAACACTTCCGATGGACGGTTGTTGGGGGGCCGAGTATCGTGCGCCAATACGTCTCCACTATTAGCAAATTGGTCATCTCCGAGGCAATTACTCAACGAGGCATCGCTTTTCAATATCGCGTATTGGATGATCGCCCCCCTTTCACTCGCGTCGCGACAAACACACAATGATATCGACCGGGCCTATTGGTATCTTCGTGTGATTGCGAATGATTTGTTAAAGAGCGTACTATAGTCCTTTTCCGTGTCACTGGTCGAAAAATATGGGACCCGCATGGGTGGATATATCTCCGCTTGCGAAGGTTGACCGATATTTGCAGATCCACATCGTCAACGCGCATGGCGACGTCGATAGTATAGGCTTCATTGCCCCTTGCCTTGAGTGATGTGGATGGATACATCAGATCATAGCAACAAGCTCAAAGCGGTTGAAGTATCTTCTTTGGATCGCGACGAATCTACTCGCAATTAGTGGCGCTTCGATACCACTACTGTTGTCGCTTAGCACTGCACTCTTTTTGTTTCTCTTCATACTAGCAAACTTGACTAGCCGCCTACGTCCACAACATATTGCCCTCTTTCCTTCCTCTCATATACGTGACTGAACACAATCCTTTTCACATCATGTTTTCCAGCGATACCCGGCATTTACTGGTCTTACCATTCTCACCCTATTCTTGTCTGCTCCGGTCCAGCATTGCCATGACTACATGAATTTCCATTATCCAGCCAATCAAAACAAAGGAGAAATATTCAATCTCAATACCAGTCGTCTACGATGCAGGGGATACGCAGCGTAACATTTACAGCAAAAAAAAACTATAACCCAGCTTTCTCCCCTCTCTCTGCAATCCTCTTTTACACACGCCGCTAAGACTCTAAGACGTCTCATGTTACATGTTTGGAGAATGTGACTCTCAAGAACACAAGTATATTTCCTGTACTATTTGGGGGGCAGGGCGGCACTGATGTACTGGTATGACCTCGGAAGTTTACTCATTCTCGAGATCAGTAATTAGATAAATAATAACATTTAAAGAATATGTTTGTATATTTGTTTGGATGCCAAGCCAGTGTTCATTTTGATTATGGCGTGTGCAAATGGTATGCGGATAAGTCATATAGTTAGTGGTACGTCTACCAAACATCTATCTGCAAATTATAGAGACTCATGCTTACCCTACTCTTTTGTCAACTAGATGAGAACCTCCTCCGTCCATGGCATGCCTCATTTCTTTCCCCTCGCGGCATCTCATAAGTTAAGGGGCGTCGAATCTTGTTTTGTAATGGACAGATTAGAGAAATCTGGACATCAGTACATCATTGCTGAAACAATAGATCCTCATGTCGTCCTCTGAGTCTGTGCCCAAGAGCTAGTATCCAGCAGGTAGGTGCTACACTCTGGGTCCAAGAAGGAAAACCCCTGCCTCCAATATTCTCCCTCAGCCTTCCTTTCGGACAACACGTCGTTCAAATTACTACATTTCACTGCTACGACCAAGGTAACTGCCAATGAACAATTACACATTCAAACTGGTTTTGCTAGATGAACCACAGAATGAGAAGTCTATGGAGTAAAGAATATTGTAGCAAGCCAATACTTAATCACAATTTTGAATCCTAATCCGGCCTTCAAGTTGACACTTATCTACTTGACTAATCTTCACGAGCTTTTGAACGCCAAATTACCAGCGTTGAAGGTATAGTAAATAGCGATTGGCTTCATGAAGATATCCCCAAGGATTTAGAGACCAGTATGAATTTCTTGACGAACTGAAGATAGTCATTGGCCTCACAGACGACCTCTGTATCGACTTGGGCGCCACATGTGAGCACCTAATTGATACAGGGAATACTGCCATAGCCAATGGCTGTATGCATAAGCAAGCGTTCGATTAAACCTGTCCAATATTTCCAGTTTTCCAGCCGCCATCTGGTTCACAGTCCAATGTCTGCCTCTTGTTGCTGGAGATGGACCATGTGTTCCTATTTCAAACATGCCGACCATAGCCCAACCGCAAAGCGCATGTCCGAGACTATGTTTTGCACTAACAACCACGATGTCAGCTGCCCATATTCACTACAACGCGCTGCCATCGCGTACTATGATGGATCTCACACCGCCATAGTAGAAGCCTGTATTTTCATGTCAGATTGTTAAGAGCTCTTTGGGTTTTGGTTCGTGCTTTCCGTTGGGTTCGGATACGAAAGTGGAGTGCTCAGAGCACAGAGATACTCTTCACTGACCACGTCCGCCCTCTATGTGCCCAGGAGTATGGCTGGATCTTGCACAAGCTGTAAAGTTCACCGACCCATGTATATGACCCGAATATCATAACATCCGCGAATGCTATCCTTAGACCCGAAGCTCCCAAACACCATGCAAATATGCTGACACATCATCTGCACCACAATCCACCTCACATCTTCAGACTATGTCTCCCCCCGAATACAGATTTCTGTGTACGTTGTCCCATCATGACGCATTTTCACATCTTACGCGGCTTGCTCTCCTGCCGTCCCCTCGCATCATCCCAACCACACCCACCAAAACAACAAAATCACGGCCGCAAAAAATCCCAGCCACACCTTCCAACCCACGCCTGTCTTCTGCGCCATTCTCAACATCCGGTTCATAGTTCCACGTATCTTATTCCTTGAATTCTCAAACTGATCGTTCATTTTCTCGGCGAGGGTGGTGGAGTCGCGGATTTCGTCGCCGATGAGGTGGGTCAGCTGTTACTTTATCAGGAATTTTGAGAATTTCCTTGTGATGCAAGGTGAGGGAAAAAAGGGTTTTTTTGGAGGGAGATTGGTCAAGGGGGAGAGCGGTCATGGATATAAGAGAACAAACGTACATCCTTTAACATCTTGACCTTGCCCGTCAACACGCCGACAGCCTCCTCGTTCTGACTCTCCAACTCTTCCAAAACAGCTGAACTGTACTGCCCCCTTGAATTGGGCGTCGCGCTGCGGAAACCCCCATTATTATCTCCTTCCTTGCCTCTTCCATTTCCGCCTAACCCATAGCCGCCCCCACTTCCACCTCCACCACCAGGATACAACCCAATCCCATTACCCACCCCCGCCCCTGCTGCTGCGCCTGGGTATGCGCCGAACGAGGAACTACCCACTGGCGTCGTCGCAGTATATCCATACCCTCCGGCGGCACTATATGGTGATTTTGCAGTTCTCGACTTTGACTTCGAGGGTGAGGCGCTGCGGTTATATGTGCTGAAAAGGTCGTCGCCGGCGTCAGTTGCGCGGCCGAATCTGAGTTGTGGTCTCTTACGTTAGCTATTTCTCAATTCTTTCTTTTCTGCCTTCGAGTACTACACCTGTTTGTATACCATTGTACATACCGGCTTGACATGGCTTGATGATCCGCGACGGTTCCTTGATGCTCTTGTCGTGGCGAGACGGTGTTGAAATCGCGTGCGATGTTCTAAGGTAACGACAATGTGTGTGCCTGAACCTTCAAACCCCCCATAGGAATGCCTTGGTGTCCGATTTGCAATCACGGCAGAAATAAGTTGTGCCCCTTTGTTGCCGTCCTCGATAGCTGGGGCCAGCTTTCTTTCGTGAACGCCAAAGGTTAGTGTGGGAAGAGTTTCGGAGGTAAACTTGGGGTTGCGCTAACGCCGAGGTCTGGCTCACGTTGTTACCACGTTTGTTGTAACAGGGTACGCTACGCAGCCTACACATATAGCAGTCGATGACCTGCGGGTACAATGTCAGCATTAGACAGTCAGTGTCTCTGCCACATGGCATCCACATGGGACATGTTGGGAGATTTAAATGCATATGTGCAAAGGGCTAAATCGAACTTTGGTCCTCAGATTGTTGAGTTGTACCACATGGGCTTCACGACAGACTTTGGACACTGCGAACGTCAACCCATACTGCCCTTTTTCAGTCGTCACGCTACCGCTCTATTCAAGATGGTGCGAAGACATGCTTGCGTAAGAAGTGTCCTTGTCATTGAACATATGGGCAAAAGACTACAAGCCGCCCCTCGCCCATCACTCTTGCCCGACCCTAATGCATGTGTACAAGTACAAAATTGGGAGCCCGCCATCCATTACCTAGGTGCAATCCCATTCCTTCCATACCGAAAACAAGTAGCGATTCAAGGTTCGACACTTTTTGGACGTAAAGCTCCAGAGCATGATGATGACCCGTCGAGCAGGATCCGCGTAAAAAGCGAGCGGATTCGTTGTTTCCGGCGCGAGCCTGTCGTATGTGTCCCATTTATCCCATGTTAAGCTCTTCCGAGACTAGATATAGGTGTAGATGTAGAACCCACACACATGACGCTCTAGTTCTTAAGCCCAATCTTGTTCAACAAGCTCCCCGACCGTCCAGCAACCATGGCCTTGTCGTCAAAAATCTTCAATAAGCTCTTCCACACCTGTCCAGGATCTTGGCTCGCATCAATAGGTTTCCAGATACCCGTCTTCTGGTAGTAAGCTACGACGGGCGCCGTCTGGGCGTGGTAAGTCGACAGACGCTTCTTGAGAGTGTCCTCGTTGTCGTCTGAGCGCTGAATGAGGGGCTCGCCGGTGACATCGTCGGTCATGGGTGCCTTGGGTGGGTTGAAGATCTTGTGGTAGGAGCGACCGGAGGCGGGGTGGACGAGGCGCCCAGTGATACGCGAGACGAGCAGGCCATCATCGATTTGCAGTTCGACGGCGTGCTGGAGGGGCTTGTTGGTGGCTTCGAGCATGCCGTCGAGTTTCTCGGCTTGAGTGACTGTGCGGGGGAAGCCATCGAGGATGAAGCTGGGAGACGGGGGGTGTTAGTATGCTGTAGTATGCTGGTTGAGAGCGTCTAGGGTAGAAATGGAGATGGGGGTGGGAAACAGGAAGGAAAAGGACGCACCCCTTCCTGCACTCCTCGTTGTTCTCGAGCTCAGTCCTGATCATGTTGACCATGATCTCGTCGCTGACCAGGCCACCCGCATCCATAATCTTCTTCGCTTCCCGGCCGAGCGTCGTCTTGGCCGCGACCTGGGCGCGCAGCATGTCTCCAGTGGCCTTGATGGGGCAGTCAGCATGTCTGTTGCTGTCTGTCTGTCTGGTAGAGAGGAGTCTGGAGAGCAGCAGGATCCAAGAAAACGTACCAAATGGCAGGCGCAGAACTTCTCCTTGATTCGCGGTGCCTGCGTGCCTTTGCCTATAGTCGTGTGTAAGCCAATTGGTGCCCTCCATCATGCCACTACCGGTATACGCCTGCTTCCCCCTCCATAGGACCACCTACCAGCACCCGGAGGCCCCATCAAAATCATGCGCACGCTCTCCGTCGACGCCGGCGCGCTCGCTCCATGACCGCTCAGCCTGTTCTCCAGTTCGGCGATGCGCTGCTCCAGTCTCGAGACAGTGCTCTTCAGGTCATCGACGACCGTGTCGGTAAGAGGAGCCATTTGCGCGGGGAATGGAGCGTCTGTGCCTCGGCAGCAAATGCAATCAGCGGCAACAGCAGGGCGTGGGGAACAGGGGAAGGCGGGAAGGGCGGTTCTTTGAATAAAAAAAAATGGGCAAAGACGAAGAGGCGGCGGGTGGTGGTGTCGCAATTCAAGGCAGAAGGGAAAAAGCTGCGATAGAAATGGAGATCTGGCTGAGGTTCCGGTTCCAAGGCGATGCCGTCCGTTGGTTGGCAGGCCGGCCTAAGCTTCGGTTGGACGGATTTAATTTCATCAACCACACCCGCCCGACCTCGGTGGTGGCTTGCTCGTGTCTTGGGAACAAAGTTCGGCAAGCAAACTGCATCGCATCACCAATACTACTGCATATACTCGCCCTTTATGTTTTTGCGCCTGAAGAGTTTTGAATGTACGCTGGGTGGACCAAAAGTACGCGTAGCCTAACCTGGGCCTATACATCCCACCTCTCACATCTCGTCAGTGGCCATACATCACATCAAAGACTCTAAATCTAGTATTCATCTCCAAGTACCTGCTTCAGTCCCTTCATCTCCAGCTCGTACTTCTCCACCTTGTTCTGGCTAGTCATCATCTTCGTCAAAAGATAATTGATCCGTCCCGTCGTCTGCACCGGCTGTGTCTTCAGCCTGCTCAGCAGCAACAACTCATTCTCGCACTTGTCAATCGTCGCATTCTCAATCTTGGACAAATTAGTCAAAACGGCAAGATCCAGACGACTCTTTAGCACTCTGTCCTCTGTCAGCCTCCTAAAGGCAGAAAGGTAGACGGGTTTGCCGGGCCTAATGGCCGACGGCCTTCCGTTTGGACCCGATTCAATCGAGATGAGCTCGGCTTGCTCAAGAGCGCGAAGAACAGATTCGCCTCCAGCCTTCAATATGTCATCCAAGAGTACCTCGTTGTATCGCAGGCTCTCTTTCTCGGCAAGTGTCTTGATAAGTAGCCACGCCTGTTCGGCGTTCCATTGGCGGTTGCTGCCCTCATCATCTGCGCCAAAGATATACATCTTAAGAATCTCAGAGGCTGACTGGTCGATGATTTCACGGACCGCCTTGGTCGGTGTCTCACCAGTCTTGATCCTTCTCGCTAGGAATTCTAGGTCTGTGAGTCGTCCACCGAGCAGATCGATACATGTGTCAAGCTCGTCGAGATCTGTTCGGTGCTCAGAGGGGAGCCTCTTGCGCGATCCATCCCTGGGCATGGGCTCATCTTCGACATCTGCATCCAAGTGTGTCACGACGAAACGTTTGGCTACCTCTGGACTGCAATCGGAAAGTGAAATCTGTCGGAAGACGCGGTCGGGCATGGCTTTGGAGAGCGATTTGCTGAAAGCGACATCGTTCGTCAGGAAGATGACATGAGCTACATTGGTCGTCGTAAGACGTGCAGCCCATTCTGCAATCTTGTCGTAGACAATACCGCCCTCTTGACTCTTGTGCAGAAAGTTGTCGATTACCACAATAGGTCTGCGTTCAGGATGCGCTTCAAGCCACTCGTCATCACCCAGATGGGCATCTTTGTCGTTTTTCTGTCTTGTTTCCAATGCGATCTGCCTCAAAGCCGATGTCGTCGTGTTCCAGATTTTGCTGAGCTGTGAGTCCAGGGTCTCAGAGAATCCTGTCTTCACGCCAGTCGCACCTTGTGCAGCCATATCGATCATACCGCTGATACTATTCATCCAAGAGAACACGGGTCTATAGCCAACAGAAAGTGCAGCGGCATTGATGGTCGCACTCTCACCTCGCGCTTCCTGGATGGGCTTGCAGTCTAGAACAAGCTTGAGCTTCTTGTCCTGCAGGGCCTGGTCGACCACGAGTTCCCGCTTGCCCGAGCCACGAGGACCCTGTACAATGATGAAGGTATCGGCGGTTTCCATAAGCCATGTCTGGATTTGCTCAATATTCCCCTTGCGGTCGTCCCAGATGACACTGCTGCCATCGTCGTCGTCGTGTCTACCGCCGTGAATGATGTTGGTTGCATAGCCTTTGATCCACTGGTACCATTTGTTATCTTCAATGTGAAAGTTTCTTGTGATATGAGCCTTGACGAAGAATGTACGGATGCTGTCTTACTGTTAGCCAAGCATTGCAGAGCGAACCCAAAACCTTACGGGTCGAATACGATGGCGACAGTACCAGCTATCAGAGCAGCCACAATCGGAATGATGATTCTGGGGTGGCCGAAGATCCAGTCTCGAACGTATTTCGGCTTAATCTTCTGCTCGTACTTGAGCCTCAAAATCGTCCCTTTCTTGCCACCGCCCTCGGCTTCCGACACTAGAAACCCATGCATACAGTTCTTCGCCATGATAGCTTTGCCGAGACTTGTATAATCCAGATAAGCAAATTTGGGCAGAACTTTTGAATCCGGAGGCTGCATTACGATGTCGCCCAACTTGCCATACGGTCTGAAGAATTGGAAAAGCTCTTCCTGACTAAGCTCAACAGCGTCAGTAGGTGGCGCACCCGGCTCCCCAGATATGAACTCGACTCTTAATCTTGTTGATGGAAGGCGCATCAAATCCTCTACCCATGGCCGTCCTTTGACTGCCTTTGCACGCATGCGACGCCAAGGGCTCCACCATGGCTTGACCGGTTCATCTCTCAAGTACTCTTGCAATGCTCTTTCAACCTCTGAGGGCGAAGTGCTTGCGTCGTGCGTAAATTTGACAAATGCTCCACCCTCTCTCATGCGTGGAAGGACTTCGGTAGCGGTGACCTGCAGGTTGCGTTTGGTATTCAGCCTCTGGATGACGGTGGTCGGATCTGTCCCTGACATGGTGGGACTAATCAGCCTGTCCAAGACCTTAGGGATCGAGAGGCCCATGATCTTGCGTATTTGGATGGGAAACACATTGTTAAAGAAGAGGATGCCTTCATTGGGACCTGCGCTGATGTGTCCAGCCTTGTCTTCACCGGCTTGCAAAGAACTATGACGAGCTGATAGACTCCATGGTGTCGAAGAGCCAGTCGCCGAGGATCCATAGAGAGAACTCAATCTCAAGATCCCGATTCTGTCTTGTGTTAAATGGTGTATTTCTCGAGGGACGTGGTTGGCCATTCGCCGAAAAAGTCTACCTTGTCTGACCCCGCAGTGGACGAGCGCCGGCGCGATGCCAGCCTACGCGTAGGTACATCTTCACGTAAAGGTTGCTATAGATGCATACTCCAATGACCCGAAGTGCTGCAGATCCTTAGGGTGCGTGTGTGATGCGTGTGATCGATGTTGGGAAGTGAAGGCGGGTGACGTCACCTGCGCTAGCTTTGTATGGTGCCTATTTCCAACGCCCTGTGGGTTTTTGGCGGAGTGGTGGCCAACTGCTAATCCCATCCGAGGGTAACGATTTTGGTCACATTTCAGTAAAGTTATTGATACTGTACTTCATACTATACCTTAAGCCAAAATACGCAATACACGGCTTGGTTGAAGAGATATGTTGTGCAGTTATCATGAAGTTTCGCCTCTTGACTTGTCCGCATGCTCACAATTGTTTTCTCTCTACCCATTCTTCAGGGCATAAGATGTCAAGTAAGTTATATTAAGACCTATGCAAATATCTATGCAAATATTTATGCAGATAGACAATGCACGTACCGGTATATGAAAGAACTTCAGAATCAAATCACTGAGGCGAGGATCTAGAGTCCGGCGTAGCTCGTCATGTATGCAGTGAAGAAGAATCATCCCACTTGACAGAAGTGCTCTCTCTTAAAGCCCAGCTCGATCACACCGTGAAAACCCATGAATCCAGCGGTTTTCCATTTGTTAGAAATCACGTGACAGGGGGTAAGTCTCCAAGCTACCACAGCCATGATTTGGTCGGAGGTGCAATCGAAAGAGGTTTGTTGCCTACAATTCTACTGATTATAAGCGACAATCTTCATCTGCTTACTCTTCTCGATTTCACGCACTGCCGTACACATGGTAGGCATTTTGTTGTCATTGAACAGCTTGAATCACCATTGATGGCCTCGATGGCCTTGACATTCTCAGGAGTGCGGACCTTGGCATCCGATTGATTTCACACGGAACAACACATCATTCGTAAATATACACAAATTGCATGCGAAGAAAAAAAACATGCCAAAACACTGAACACTGCAAATGCCTCCCACACGACTCCACATACTGAAAAGAGGTATCTTGCAAGTGAATGAGAAAACACCTATGCAGCAAAAGTCAAACGCCTATAAAGTCCATTCTCTTGCCGGAATCCTGTACCCATCAAGCTTTCCTCAAAAAATGTCTATCATAATCCCTCTTTTATCGCCGTATATGCATCAAGTCACTGTGACAAGCATCTATGCGGAGACCGCAATCTTGGGTCCGGGCGCGCCGATAGCAGCGTTCAAGGCGTCATATTGGGGGCGCTTGACGATGCCACCAGTGACTGGAAGCGAAGTGCCGTATCCAGTCAAGAAGGAGTCAACATCTCGGGCACACTGGCGACCTTCGTTGATACCCCAGACAATGAGGGACTGACCACGACGGCAATCGCCAGCAGCGAAGACCCCTGATAGATTGGTGTTGTAGTGTCCCGGCGGAGTCTTGATGTTCTTACGACCGTCCAGTTCAACGATGTCGCTCATGACGCGCTGCTCGGGGCCAAGGAAACCCATAGACAGGAGGACGAGGTCAGCTGGGAAGAATTGCTCGCTGCCTTCGATATGTTTCATATCCCAGCCACCACTAGCGGACTTGGTCCATTCGACGCGAACAGTGTTGATGCCCTTCACTTTCCCACTTCCATCGTCGACGAAGTCTTTGGACATGACACAGTACTCACGAGGATCCTTGCCCATGTGAGTTTTGACCTCGCTGTGTCCATAATCGGTACGGAAAATGCGAGGCCACTGTGGCCATGGGTTATCACGGGCACGCTCTGCCGGTGGCTGAGGCAACAACTCGAAGTTGACGACTGACTTGGCGCCATGTCGAACAGAGGTACCAATACAGTCGTTGCCTGTATCACCTCCACCAATAACAACAACATGCTTGTCCTTAGCAGAGATGTAAGCTTCATCCGCCAACTCAGAGTCCAGGAGCGACTTTGTGTTCTTGTGCAAAAATTGCATGGCGAAGTGGATGCCGTCCAGGTTGCGATTAGGAATTGGCAAATCACGAGCAACGGTGGCACCGGTGGCGAAGACTACTGCGTCATACTCACTGCGCAGCTTCTCCAGATTTGTCTGCCCTTCCTCGCCAACAGTGACGCCAGTCTTGAACTGGATTCCCTCGGCAGCCATAAAATCCACACGGCGTTGGACAACCTTCTTGTCGAGCTTCATGTTGGGTATACCATACATCAGAAGACCGCCACAGCGATCAGCACGCTCGAAGACAGTGACTGTATGGCCCGCCTTGTTGAGCTGATCTGCGCAAGCAAGACCAGCAGGACCAGATCCGATAATAGCAACAGTCTTGCCAGAGCGGATTTGGGGAGGTGTCGGGACCATCCAGCCCTTCTCGAAACCTCGGTCGATGATGGCGCACTCGATAGACTTGATACCGACAGGGTCCTCGTTGATGCCTAGAACACAGGCACCCTCACAAGGTGCAGGGCACACACGACCGGTGAATTCAGGAAAGTTGTTTGTCATCAGAAGGCGGTTCAAAGCGTCGCGCCACTGACCCTAGAAATTAAAAAGTTAGATACAGCTAAGAAGTATGTAAAAGTATGCTTACTTGAAAGACGAGCTCATTCCAGCGTGGGATCACGTTCGAGATCGGGCAACCTGTATCGGACTGGCAGAAAGGAACACCACAGTCCATGCAACGAGCTGACTGGTATTTGAGTTCGTCCTCGTTCAAACGTTGCGAAAGTTCTGCCCAGTCACGAGTTCGTGTCTTGGGGTTGCGGTACTTCTCAGCACGGCGCTGGTACTTCATGAAGCCGCGTGTCTTGTCAAGAACGAGAGCCTTCTTCTTCTCGGCCTTTGCATCAGTGACGCTCTCCTCAATATCAAGCAAGTCACTCTTCTTCTTGTCCTTGGCTGCGGCATCAGCTTCAGTCTTTCGACTGTGCTCGTGTGCTGCGCGAACAGGGTTGCCAGCGAGGAGAGGAAGAGGGTACTCCGACTTCTTCTTCTCGGCGGCCTTGGCCTTCTCCTCCATGAGAACACGCTTGTAGTCGACGGGCATGACTTTGACGAAGCGAGGCAGAGCGCGTGTGAAGTCGAGCAGGATGCGGGCGGCGAGCTCCGAGCCAGTGTAGTGATGGTGGTCCTCGATGAGACCTCGGACAAACGCGATTTCTTCTGGCTCCTCGATGCCGGATAGCTCAACCATCTCCTGGTTGACCTTGGGCTCGAAGTCCTGGTGGATGTCAAGCACGTATGCAATACCGCCAGACATACCAGCAGCAAAATTACGACCAGTAGAGCCAAGAACGAGAACACGACCACCAGTCATGTACTCGCAGCCATGGTCACCGACACCCTCAACAACTGCCGTAGCACCAGAATTACGAACGCAGAAGCGCTCGGCAGCAATACCACGGAAGAAGCAAGTACCACGAGTAGCACCGTACAGGCAGACGTTACCGATCAAGACATTCTCCTCGGCACGATAGACTGCATTGCGAGGAGGATAGACGATCAGGCGACCTCCAGACAGACCCTTACCAACATAGTCGTTGGCGTCACCCTCCAGCTCAAGTGTGACACCAGGAGCTAGGTAGGCACCGAAAGACTGGCCGGCAGAACCACGAATGTTGACGTGAATGGTGTCTTGCGGTAGACCAGCCTCGCCATAGCGCTTGCTGATGTGGTAAGAGAGCGTGGCACCCAGCGCACGATCGGTGTTGACGACGTCGCACTCGATACGGGCGGGAAGACCCTTCTCGAGAGCGAGCTCGGATTCGGCAACGAGCTTGTTGTCCAAGCGGACGTGGAGGCGGTGGTCTTGCTTGCGAACGTTGAAAGTAGCAACGCCGGGGCGAAGAGTGTGAGCCGGAGTGAGGATCAAAGACAAGTCAATATTCTCAGTTTTGCGCGTGCGCAGATCGTCGCGAATGCGGAGGTTCTCGCAGTGGCCGACCATGTCGTTGATGGTCCGGTATCCCAACTTGGCCATGATTGCACGGAGCTCGTTGGCGATGTAGTAAAAGAAGTTGATGACATGCTCGGGGGTGCCGGTGAACTTCTTCCTAAGCTCCGGGTCCTGGGTCGCAATACCGACGGGACAGGTGTTGAGGTCTATTGCTTGTTAATACATTATCTTGTTGCTACGGTGACCTAGTACAACTTACGGCACTTTCTCATCATGATGCAGCCCATGGCGATCAACGGAGTGGTGGCAAAGCCCCATTCTTCAGCTCCAAGCAGACAAGCGATGGCAACATCGCGTCCAGTACGGAGTTGGCCGTCAGTCTGGACAATGACACGGCCACGGAGGTCGTTAAGCACCAAAGTCTGATGAGTCTCTGCAAGGCCCAACTCCCATGGAAGACCAGCATACTTGATACCAGTCCATCGGGAAGCACCAGTTCCACCATCGTGACCAGAGATGAGAATATGGTCAGCCTTGGCCTTGGCGACACCGGAAGCAACGATTCCAACACCAGTCTCGGAGACGAGCTTGACGGAGACACGGGCGCGTGGGTTGGAGCACTTGAGATCGTAGATGAGCTGCTTCAGATCTTCGATGGAGTAGATATCGTGGTGAGGGGGAGGACTAATGAGACCGACACCAGGGGTAGAGTGACGGGTCTTAGCAATGGAGCCGGAGACCTTGTGGCCGGGCAGCTCACCTCCCTCACCAGGCTTAGCACCCTGAGCCATCTTGATTTGAAGCTCATCAGCATCGGCGAGATAGTTCGAGGTGACACCGAAACGTCCAGAAGCGATTTGCTTGATGGCAGATCGCATGGTGTCGCCGTTCTCCATGCGCAAACTGCGCTCCGGATCCTCGCCACCCTCACCAGTGTTGGACTTACCGCCAAGACGATTCATGGCAACAGCAAGTGTGGAATGTGACTCCATAGAGATGGAACCGTAAGACATGGCACCTGTAACGAAGCGGCGCACAATGTCTGTCCATGGCTCCACTTGATCGATGGGAATAGGCGTGCAATCGTCAAAGTTGAAGTCGAGAAGACCACGGAGTGTGCAGTCTTTGATGCGCTCATACTCGGCAATGGAGTAAGCCTCGTAGGACTTGTCGTTCTTGGTGCGAACGGCGTCCTGGATGTTAGCCATCGCAGTGGGGTCGTTGACGTGAGGCTCGCCTCCGTCACGCCAGTGGTACTCACCGGTCTCAACGAGACCAGGGACCTCGACGATGGGGCGGGACGGGTAACCCTTTTCGTGCAGAGCGAAGGCATCTTCGGCAATGAGCTCAAAGGTCATGCCCTTAATACGGGATGCAGTTCCTGTGAAGCAACGATCCACAACAGTGTCATCCAGACCAAGAGCTTCGAAGATTTGAGCACCCTTGTAGGACTGAATAGTTGAGATACCCATCTTGCTCATGACCTTCAGGATACCGCCATCGCAAGAATGCTTGTAGTTGTCGACCAGCTGCTCAGGGCTGAGCTTCTTGCGGATGAGGCCTTCACGGTGCATCTTGAGAATACACTCAATGGCCAGGTATGGGCAGATGGCATCAGCACCATAACCCACGAGGACACACATGTGGTGAACCTCACGGGCCTCCCCCGTCTCGATGACAAGAGCAGCGTTGGATCGCCATTTGTTACGCACAAGATGGTGGTGTACCATACCGGTAGCCAAGCACGCAGAGACAGCAACGCGGCTGGCAGATGCGGCGCGATCAGTGAGGACGATGATATTGTCACCAGCTTTGATACCCTCAGAAGCCTCTTCACAGATGCGATCAAGGGCAGCCATGTAGCCTTCAATACCCTCACTCTTGGGGAAAGTGATGTCGATTCTCTTCACAGTCCACTCCGGGTGCAAGGTCTGCGTGTTGATCAAGGCCTTGAACTCCTCAATAGAAAGCACTGGTGACGGCAAAAGCATGCGACCACATTGAGACTCATCCATCTCCAAAAGGTTACCCTGGGGACCGACATATGCCTCTAATGACATGACAATAGCCTCACGGATAGGGTCAATGGGAGGGTTGGTAACCTGAGCAAAGAGTTGACGGAAGTACTCATATGGCAGACGAGGCTGTGTTGCCAAACAGGCAAGAGGAGCGTCGTTGCCCATTGAGCCAAGAGCTTCCTTTGAGTCTGCGGCCATGGGACCAAGAAGCAAGCTGACCTGCTCCAGAGAATATCCAAAAGCTCGCAAGCGGGGGTCTTCCTGCAGCTTTGTCTCATCCAATGTAAGGGACAGGTCGACACCCTTGGCAGCGACCTGCTCCATGACCTTGGGGAGAGTGAGCAAGTTCTTCTCGATCCAGGACCGAAAGTCGTTGCGCTGAGCGACAGTCTGCTTCAGCTCGGCATCATCGACAATTCGTCCAGCGACAGTATCGACGAGCAACATCTTACCAGGCTGGAGACGACCTTTTTGGACCACTCGCTCTGGCTCGATGGAGATTGTGCCAACTTCAGAAGCACACACGATGCGATCATCGTCTGTGATGTAGTAACGGCAAGGACGGAGGCCGTTTCTGTCAAGGTTGGCTCCACAGTAGCGTCCATCAGAGAATGTGAACAGTGCTGGGCCATCCCAGGGCTCCATCATGCAAGCTGCCCATTCGTAAAAGGCCTGCTTGGCAGGGTCCATGGTATGATTTCCTTGCCATGCCTCAGGTACCATAAGCATGACCGCCTCGGGGAGAGAGAGAACACCGTTGATAGTAAGCAGCTCCAGAACGTTGTCAAAGGCGGCCGAGTCGGATCCACCATCCTCTACAATAGGGTACATCATATCGAGATCTTCGCCGAACAAGTTGGACTTCATGACACCCTCGCGTGCCCGCATCCAGTTTTTATTTCCGCGCAATGTGTTGATCTCGCCATTGTGAGCGGCCCACCGTAATGGCTGAGCACGATCCCAGCTGGGGAATGTGTTGGTCGAGAATCGGGAGTGCACGAGTGCGAAGTGACCCTCGTAGTCGACGTTGACCAAATCATGGTAGTATTCGTAGACCTGGACTGGAGATAGTTGTCCCTTGTACACAATGTTCTTGTTGGACAACGAGCAGATGTAGAACCTAGGGGAAAAATCAGTCAAGTGAGAGTGGTCACAGTAGTCTCCTTAACAAACCAGTTGTGAAGTCCAATCACGTGTGTAGCCCGCTTTCGCATGACATACAGCTGTCGCTCGAAGTACCCATTGTCGTACTTTTGCTGGAAGTCGGGGTTTGGCTCTCGGCCTACACCGTAGGCTGTCTTCAAGACCACAAAGGGCTGCAAAATGATGGGCTCTCGTGAAAGCGCTGCTGGCCCAAGCAAAGTAGAATCACGAGGGACCACTCGCCATCCGAGTACCCTCAGATCTAGCTGGTCTGCAACGTCCTCAAACATGATCTTCGTCTCCTCCAGAATGGTGGCGTCCGGCTTGAAGAACAAATTACCGGTGGCATACTGGCCAAGTGCGGGTAGCTTGTAGCCCTGTTCGCGCTCGAATTCCTTGAGGAAGAACCGGTGGGGGATGGAGGTCATTACGCCTGCACCGTCACCGTCTCGTGCGTCTGAACCCACGGCACCTCGATGGGTCATGTTACACAGCAAAGCCCTCGCTATATGTTGTTGTTAGCTACCTCTCTTGTTCCCTAGACGGCTCATTGCGCCTTACCATCCGAGACAATCTTATGACTGGCTTTGCCCTTGATGTGGCTGTACATGGGTCAATTCTTGTCATTGCACGCATTTCAACTGTTGGATCACTCACGCGGCGAAACCGACACCGCAAGCATCCTTTTCGAGTTCAGGGTCGTACAGACCCTGCTTCAAGGGGAGCGCGCCCGCCCAGGACTTGTTCTCCGGGCCATCTTGATAAGCAAACACGGATGATGTATGCTCCTCTTCGATCTGCGTATCCTGTGACAATTTTGTATCCTCGGTGAAAGAGACCCGACCCATTATATCGGCAAAAGGCCGAAATTCTGGGTTCGTAGGGTGTTTTCGCGTGGGGGTGGGGGTTCAGTTATCGATATGGACGTTGGCGGGGTTGCTCGACGCCTGAATCGGGAGCAGCTGCTCTGTTTGTACTGAAGTCTGGGGGATTGTCTATTAGCCGTTGGGTCGGAGCAAATGTGATTTTCGTGTTGTTTGTGAGCTTGCACTTGGTGGCAATGGTCCAGGTACACAAGTGTTAGGACGCCAAACAGCCTAACTCGAAGCAACAGAGTGCATGCGGGCGACCATGGCCGCGAGCGGGGAATGGCCTCTATTATTTCAACAAGCGTCTACCACACCCAGCTTCAGCAGCACGACGATGCGGCTTCGTCAGCGCGGCAACGCCCGCCCGCAACTACAGGCCGTCGAATTCTGTGATGGCTAGTAGTCCCGGCATGCTGATAAGAAAGCTAGCGAATGGGATGGCGCGGGGTGATGCTCATTGCTGATTGCTTCGAGTGAGGCGGTCGCCAATGAAGTCGTACAGGGCCCAGGCATGTACCAAAAGCAAAACATCTGCACATGGTGGTGTGGCAGATTGGATAGAAAAACCACAGAGGAGTGTGGGAGAAGGGGGGAGCAAGGCCAGACTTACGTGCGGTAGAGCTGGGTGGAACAGGGCCTTGCGGTAGACTCACGGTGTTCCAAAAGCAACTGCTAGTTAGATGTGAAGGTGGGTAGGAGCAGGCGTAGAGAAGGGAAAAGGCGGGCGCGGGAAATGTAGAGGGCGTGCTTAAGAATAAGAGGACGGAGGGCTGCTGGTGGGGTGGATATTCTTCAGAGTGTGCGCTAGACACCTTCACTTTGACTGTATCCAATTACCGGTCTGGTAGCGCGTCGGTGGAGGCGTCCACGTTGGCTCCGGGGGGGTTCTCCGCCCATGTTGCCTGTTCACACTGGGATCTGGTGGCCGTGGAGGTGGTCTTGGTACTACTCTATTCGATATATACAATTATACAAGCTGGATGTGTGGCCCCCCCCCCCCCGCCCGCCTCCCCATCCCTCGACACTGTGCTGGGAACGGGATGAGCAGATGGCGGTGTCAAAGGAGCACAACGACAGGAACCAATTGTGACGCCAGTGGGTGTTGTAGAGTAGGAGTAGGGGAGTAGGAGTACTATAGGAGTAGGAGTAGGAGTAGGAGTAGTAGCAGGAGTAGTAGCAGTAGTAGGGATATCAATGCTCAGGTGCGTATATACCCGTGTCTGGTGCATGCTGAACCATGGCCTTGCAGGCGCAGCAGCAGCAGCAGCAGCCTATGCCGCATGATGATGATGATGATGATGATGATGATGTTTGCATACGGGAATACCAAGTTGAACCTTTGGGATACCTACCCCACGGTTTTTTCTGCCCAGTCATTACCATAAGCAGACGAACATTGGCTGCAGCGAGAGGCGGTCAAGGCGGACGACCCTTGGCCCGGGGTCCCACCAGACCCAAGGTCCGATTTCGGTTACCGGCATTGACGAGGTGGGAAGATTTCAATGTTGGAAGGGGAAAGGCTCGAATCCTGGTGGGCGTGCATCATCCATGATCCATCCATCCATGCTCCCATCCACCCTCGATCCATCCATGCTGGCTTTCCGCTCCCCAAGCCTCCCACCGGGCAGATTGCCGTTGCAGGCCACGCCGCATCATTGGAATAGGCTGGCTGCTGATTGGCGCGGCGGCCTCCCCTCGGTACCACCTGGCCTTCGTTGTCGTAATTCTCGAGGGTCATCTCGGTGCTTATCGCTCCACCACGACGCTTGCCCCCAAGCCCCAAGGGGCGGAAGATGCACTAGAGCACACAAAAGGGACCGAGGGCGAGGATGGTCGTTGGACGGGAGATCCCAAAACACGGGCTGGGGGTTGGTTGCAGCGGAGCACCCATGCAACCTCTACCCCAACACACAATGCCCTGTCTCGGTGTATGTAGGCAGTACTCTGCTTGGTACTTGGTACTAACACTACCACTACCACTACATAGGTACACAGGCACATACAGAGTAGTAGCAACTCTGTTGTCTGGCACCTAGTTCAGAAGAGACGGTACTTGGAGTCCCACAGGTAGGTAGAGGTAGGATGTAGACAAGCAAGGTGTACGTAGACCCATCTCTGAAGCAAAGCAAGCCATTTGGCCACCAGTCCAAGTCCAGTGCGCATTCGCATTAGCCATGTGCCGTCTGGAGTTACATAACCGTCTGTACAATCGCTCTAGCTCGCAGGCGATGTCCGTTTGCCTCCCTACTTGCAGGCGACGAGAGCGCGACGGCGCTGTGCCTTTCGGAGCAGACCGGGACAACTGAACAAGCAGCACTGGACTGGACTGCCACTCCCTCAGCGGGGATGCCACTTTGACTTTGATGATTCCATGAGTCACGAGAACAAAGCTGGTTATCGTTTCTCCGCTGGCCACGCACCGGTACATTACCTGGACGGTACATACATCAAGTATCGTATCCCCCCCATCGCAGCCTCTCGTTAAGCGAGGCCGATGTCGCCTCCACACTGGGCAGTCAACCTTGCCCCGGCCGTTCCTTCCTTCCTCAACGACTCCCACCCTCGAAAGAGTCAAGACCCTATCCATTCTTGGCCTTAGCGTCGCCTGTGTCCCCATGTCGACCAGGCACAACATGACATGGGAAGGCTGGTGGTCACACCGTCTCGCAAAACTCCATCAGCGTACCTAATGTACACTGCTTCGAGCAATCAGGAGCAAAAATGGGGGTAAGAGAAATCACCTCGACGGTACATTCTCCTCGTCACCAGAGCAGAAACCCGCGTCCACGCGCATGCATCAATGGCAATGGGACACGTATGCAGTCCACGTTCAAGCCATTTTCTTCCTCCGCTTTGATTCAACTCGCTCATCTTTCCTCTCCAACGCCCCCCTCCCCCGCCCTCTCACGCTCTCCCGTTCCCTTCCATCTGTCCAGACGCTTGAACACGGCCCATATTGCCAACGGCCAATTCATCTCGCCTTGATCCTGGTTGGCCTAGCCGAGCGCTATGTAGAGACCGACAGTTGCCCCAGAAGTACTACCTACTTGCCACTACTGTATCTCGACCTTGATCGCCTCGACTGCCTGGCCATTGCCGCCATCCAACTCAATAGAAGCACTCTTTTTCCAGAGCATACCTACCAACATATTGCTGGCTCAGACCACCTGCCTAATCATGCTCCAGCTCCAAAGCTAGTCTGACAAATCCTATTCCCACTATGCTAGAAAAAGAAAACAACAAAATGATAGGACGCTCCCCACTGAGATGGAAACCTCCCAGCACCATACTATATAGCATTAGACACGAAGGTAGTACAACTTGGGCAACATGCGTGTTAGCAAACTCATAATACAATCGTCAAAACATCAGATCAAATCTTTTCACACTCCCATGAACCGGCACAGAAGAGTGGATGATGGAGAGCCAGATTTGCATTGCATCGTCATCTAATGCTCACTGAATATATTCAACCATCCGAACCTATCCGGTCCAAGAAAAAGGTCTCTGCCGCTCCAATCAAACTGAGCGCGGAACATCACAGAAGTTCCTACTCCAGGGCCGTGTTTCTCATCCAGCAACAACCGCGCCGTGACTCCGGTTTTGTCATGTGCCATATCGTTACCCAATGCTCGCGAAGAAGCTTTTATTTCCAATCATCCCAGCTCGAATATACGCACGGTGTGACCTTCGTGATTGCGTCGACGAGAGTCCTAATCTCACGGTCAACGACTGCTATGCCACTGGAGCGGCGGAGCAGCAAAATCGAACATACCACAGTCGTAGCAAACGCCATTTGCGACAGCTTAGTCCTTCATCTCATCATCAGGGTCGACAAAGTCCTCGTCATCGTCTTCTTCGTCGTCGTCGCCAAGCTCCTGATTGGCCTTGGCGAAGTCGATGTTCTTACCGCGTGTACGACTCGTGAGGATGTTGTCCGTCTCGATCTCCTCCATGTTATCCTCATCGGGCTCCTCGACTTTTGCAATGTCAGTGGGGGGTTGTACATGTTCATAGGAGTACTGTGTACCTTCACCAGCCTAAAGCGGTGTGTTAGTACTTTGCGCCAAATTGAATAGTTCGAGGGCAAGGAAACTTACCTGGTCTTCAGCGCCAGATTCATCGCTGGAGTCATCATCATTGGATTCCTCCATGGCATCACCCTCCTGTGCCCTGCCCTTGCCCTTGCTCTTGGTAGTGGGGTCCTGAACGCCCTCCATCTGGTGGTTTTCTGGCTGAGCAGACATTGTTGCAGGTATGGTCGCGAAGTTGTGAAACCCGATGATTACAGTGTATAGTGAAGCTGAGTTCCAAGGCGATTAGAATGCTAGACGTTGATTTGCTATTGCGGCGGGAGACAAGCAAAGGTGAAGATGAAGTGCAATGCGATTCTAGAGCAAGAACGAACAAAACGCTAGTCCTCGATAGGCATAGCTTTGTTGATCGGCTGCGACTGCGGCAACCACCTGTCTACAGATCTGCGAGATACAACAATGTAGTGATCCACAAACAACAGACGCAATCAGCGCACAAGAGAATCACGCACAAGTGCATTCACTCGAGGGCTTGAAAGACGAACCATTTCATCTACTAGTAGCATGTGCGTCCTGCAAAGACTGGTCTTAAGATACACAGAGCCCAATGCAACGCTTTCGACCGCGCCCGAACACGAAGACGACGCGAAACGTCCACAGCTCTTCGGTTTGATCAAATGCTACAAACTGGCAATGACAACAATGATTTTACAAAATGAATTGAATATGGTTGAAGTATCTTTTCAGTTTTAGTTGAGCAGCAGTGAAAACCTTCAAATCTCCACTCAAGGTCTGCCGTCAAAACAACATCAGAGTTGATCATTTCGCATAAATCTCATCAGTCATCTGCGGCTGCCAGCTCTAGCTCCAGAAGCAATCCCTCCATTAGTGATGAAATAGCCTAATATGTTGCTCAACGAACGTGATGCCGCACTTCTCACTAGTTTCGAATACCGCACCATCGTTTTGGCTACCTGTAGGTGCAGCAATGTACTTGGCTCCACTCCTCTGAGCCCTGAATACATTGTCGATGAAGGGGAAGAAAGCGTCTGAGCTGACTGCAACACCTTGCAGCTTCGATAGCCAGTCCTTGCGCTCCTCTACAGAGAACGGCTGTGGTACCTGACCGTCCTCAAAGTGAGCTTCAAAGTCATCCCGCTCAATGCCTGACTCGGGGACAAGGCCGGAACAGAGAAGATCAATTGCGTTAGATTTAGAGGGGCGCTTGGTTCCCTTCTTGAACTTGAGGCCAAGAGTCTTAGAGTGGAAGCGCATCCACCAGTTGTCGGCCTTGTCACCAGCGAGACGCGTGCAGTGGATGCGCGCTGGATATCGTTAGCCACTTCTAGATTCCACATGATGATCCTGCTTACATTGCTGACCGGCACCAAGACCAATGATCTGGCCGTTGAGTGCGTAGCAAACACTGTTCGACTGGGTGTACTTGAGGGCAATCGTCGCAACGGTCAAATCACGTTGCGCCGACTCTGGCAGGGGGCCGGAGTTCTTGGGAACGATCACGCTATTGAAAGTGTCTGCAGGAACGATTTTGGCATCGTTGCGATGTTGTTTCAAAGTGATTCCAAATACTGTGCGAGCCTCTTCGGTGGATGGGATGTATTCGGGGTCCATCTGAAGTACCAGGTACTTGCCGGTTTTCTTCTTCCTGAGGATCTCCAGCGCTTCCAATGTGTATCCAGGAGCAATGACACCGTCTGAGACCTCTCGGCTGATGATTTTGGCGGTGGGAACCTGCACCTTGTCAGAGGCCCTTCACTACATCTATCACGGACTTGCATCACTTACATCGACCTCATGCGACAACGCAATCATGTCGCCAAAACTAGACATGCGGTCCGCACCACGTGCTCTAGCGTAAGCTTGTGCAAGCCCGGAGTTCTCAATGCCCTCAATATCGTCTACCATGTATACTTTCCTCTCCTCTTCGCTGAGTGGGACACCAATAGCGGCTCCAGCAGGCGAGACATGCTTAAAACTGGCCGCTGCCGGGTAGTCGAGTGCCCTGCTCAGCTCTTGCACCAATGGCCAAGCGTTGAGTGCATCCAACAAGTTGATGTATCCTGGCGCGCCGCAAAGCACCTTGAAGGGCAATGGCTTATCCTGCATAGAGACAGTTGCTGGCTTCTGGTGAGGGTTTGCGCCATATCGAAGAGTTAAATACTGATCGCCGTCGCCTGCGTACTTCTTGCGGAAGAAGTCTGCAATGGCACTGTCATATGATGACGTCTGTTCGAAGGCTTTGAGTGCATAGCGCTGCCTGCTCTTTTCGGACACCTCGCCATCTTTCTTGAGCTCGGTCAGGAGGTCGTGATAGTCGTTTGGGTCGCTAATGATTGTGACGCGCGCATGGTTCTTTGCTGCAGCTCTGAGAAGAGTTACACCAC